AGATTTAACGAAGAGGCCATTTAATGTTTGTCACTRTGTCATTACTCCCATTTAATGGTAGGGGAACACTAAGGAGTTAAAATGCATTGTGAGCACGAATTAGACAGTACAGTGAAACAAGTCACAACAGCTATAATTAAAAAGTGGGTAATTGCCAGAGTTACTGCACAATAACATTGAAGATGCTATTACTTGCCCCTGCGCTTCTAACAGGAAGTAACAGGCAGTTGTGTGTGGAGCCTGCTGAAAATATACAAAAAGATAAATAGAGTAGATGGAAAACACACGAATGATGCAGTTAGTGTGGACTGTTGCCCCAGCTTTGTCATGGTTATCTCGGCTCAGGATTTTTCCGATTTCATTTTACTCTTAACCTCTTCAACCCTTGTACATCTTGCTGTCTTCAGTCTAATCACACTGATGATGCCCAGAACAGGCAAGATCTATTCCATTTTCCAGATATTTTTTTTAATTTAGTTGAAATACACAGAATTCAGTTAAAGATCCAGAYGTATTAGAAGTTAAATGTGGAACCGAGGGCTTTCAGAGCTAAATGAAAGAAACCTGAGGAAACTAATGGTCCATTTACAGACATGAGAGATATAGAGTAGAAAATTCACTAATCATGAACAAACATTCTAATCCTACTAACTCTTTTAAGTGACTATCAAAAAAGGAGAGACTTCTCCATCACTTGAAAGAATTGGAGGGCTAAAAATACAAAAAATGAGACTCCTACCAATGGGCCAAAAGCAAACAGAGAACAGAGTTTAATGCACTAATAATAATGAAAGTCATTGCTGCTGAATCAAATTTCTCTCTTGATAAGATTTCAAAACCCACTAAGTACATATTACCCAGTGATGTGTGCATTCTTGGAAAAAGCTGCTGTGAATCTTCAAGGCCGCCCAGGCTTAAGTGATGTGCAAAGAACCCATGGTAATGATGATGACATTAAAAGGTTCATAGAACCAGTATTAATAGCCAGAAGCAAGATGAAGCACTAGCTTTTTGCAAGGGATCATAGGCAAAAACACAAAGCTAAGAAAGAAAGAGGAYGTGAATTTTAAGAACAGCTGAAAACAGCAGGTGAACTCTTCTATCTACAGTCASCTAGAAAATAAGAAGGATCTTGAAGAACAAAGATGAGCTGAAACTAAAATTTTGTATGAATTAGAATTCCACCAAATGACTACTTATTAGGAATTATGCTGAGCAAACACTGCAGTAATTTTCAGGCCTTGCTCAGCATTTGATGCCCATAAAATTATATAATTACATTATCTAGAAAAATGTATCCCACAGGTGAGAGGATTGTGATATATAATCTCAGACTACACAATACTTCTGACATTAAAATCCACTTGTTTTAGAACAAAATAACTGAATTTAAAGTCAATGTATCCTTTTTATTCAGAAATGAAGCTACCTTATTCTGCAAAAATCTAATAATATTCACAAATAACAACGCAGTTTAAGCACTATATAGAGAAGAAAAAATGAACTGTAGCTTGAATCATTCCATCTTTTATGAATTAGCATTATTTTCAAGTGTTCCATTTCAAACCTTTCRTAAAAGCAAATACTGCATTTAGAAAAGCATTGTATTTTGCAAAATTTAGCTGGGCTTTTTGTGTTTTGGAAATCCATAAAAAATACTGGATGCACGAACATGAAAGTGAAATCCCTTATAAACTGGTATTAACCAGTGAAACTAATCAGGGTTATTTCTCTGTCTAGTATGAGGAAAGTGAATCATAGAAGAGAATTTTAAGTATGATGTTTACAATTAGGTTTCAATAGTTCCCTGTCTTAGTAAACACATTCTTTCAAATTGAAGATCTTGGTGACATTAACATTGTCCCTCAAACAAACATGTAAGACAGAATGGATGGGCTTTGCTACAGGAGAAACAGTTACCAATCCTGTAAGCACCAGTGAAAACAAATATTTCAATATAAGGGATCCCAGTGAGGCTTCTTCTGAAGTGCATTTTTGGGTTTGGGTCCTAGAGAGAAGAAATGACACACTTGCAGAGGAATCCACAAGAAGTAGACTTAAACTGTAAGACAGTGAGTGGTCAGGGAGCTTCAGCCAATCCTTCATGCCAAGAACGAGGCAGAGTACTTGTCCTGCTGGCTGAGAATACACACGCTGCTAGAAGAGCTGTAGCCAAGGAAAAGCTTGCTTGGAAGCCTGCTTCCAAAAAGATACTTCTTAGCATCAAATATGAATGTGAGCTATCAGACAGAGCAGGGTAGAAAAGAAAATAGAAATGGGTTAATTAGGTGCAGAMAATACTAGAGTTGAGCACATACTGGAGCACATCTAAGTACATTACTGTTTTTCTATGATGAATGATTAAAAGAATCTCTTTTTTTTTTTTTTTTTTTTTTTTTTTTTTCCACTCACTATCACTGCTCTATTATGTATCATTAGGGAATGGGGATTTATGTATGCAAGTATTTTCCAGGCAACAAAAGGGGGCTGTAGGGGCTGTTTAGCATATGGCAGAAGAGGAAGTTAACAACAAGATTCTAGTAGCTGGTTTACACAGAGGGCTTTGCCCACAATGGGCTAATTAACCTTAAGAAAATGCAAGATGAAAGAGGGTGAAAATCCATCTCAATTGGCAGCGTACTGTGCACAATATCAAAGAAGAGATATTTGGTGGAAATTAGAAAATCTGAATATGGAATTGTTACGGAACAGTTGGCCTGTAATAAYGCCTTTTGTATTATTAACAGGACAATTTACAGACTTTGAGGCTGCATTGATATTAGCGAGTTAAAGGGTATGAGAGAACATTTCCCAGAAACTGAGAGTAAACTTTCTGTAAAGTAAAACAGTAAGAATGGTCACTGACACTGTTTTGGCCTGGCCCAACTAGCCTCCTCCTAAATATCTCCTGAGCACAGCTGAGAGGCTAACATGGGTCCACCACCATTCCCCAGAAACTTTGGAACTTCCTGCTATTGWACTAAAAGAATATATTCCCAAGTAAAATTTCTTTTAGCAGTTTAGACAAAGCCTGAGTTTTCTGAAGCCCTTTTTACCTGAAGGTCAACCTAGCCAAAGATATTTAGCAAACTTATATAGAGAAACCATGTCTATAATTTTAATGATCAGCAACCAACCATTTTAGGAGCAGGACACTGCATGCCATTAAGAAGGAAATACAGCAACTTTATATTTCCTTTATATGCAATCTCTGTGCCAATAACTGTTTGACAAAAGCCAGAGGGCACTCAGCCAGAGACTCCATTGTGGAAGGAAAGCCTCTCTGATCCAATGAAGAGAAAAACAAGATGCTTTGACCACCACTTAGGGAAACAATAACATGATCATCATCAATCAAAGTAGACCTTAGTAGACATACTAAGACCTGCTACAGTCTTAGTATGTCTAATAACACCGGTCATTAAGCCTCTATTTTACTTGCCAATGTGTGTTGCTTTCTAAAGCAAAGTTTAGAGATCAACAGCAGGTGGGATTACTTTATAAAATGAGGTGAGGGGTCTTAATCAGCTTCCTAACTCTTCTGTGCACATATTTGATATGAATATACAAARTTAGAAGATGAATGGAAGAGCTTCAACCTGCAAGGCTGCAGTCACAATGAATGTAGACCACAAAACTGGAGCCTGGTTCAAGAAATAAATTAGGTTTATTCTTCAAGGACTAAAAAATTCTTGCTCCCRGAAACTTATTGCAAGAGGAAGTACTTTCCAATGTGAGCGAAACCCAGAGTCAAATGAGAGACAAAACTGTCAGTAAAACAAGTGACATGATCAGTTAAAAGTGCAAGCCCAAATGAAGTGGTATGTATCTGCAATGACTTCATAATTTGGATTAAAATTTCAACTGCCTTTACAAATCACCTTCAACAAGCCCCTTTTTATTTTAACAGGCAATTTCTCAGAACTATAATAAAGGGTCTTGGGCAGCATTTTATATTAAATATTTATTTCGGGTTAAACAATAGGTTGGACTGGTCTAAGGGGTGAACCAATTGCCAGATGCACTGATAATGTGAGAATCTTATTTTGTACTTCATCAGATATTACATTAAACATTTGGATACAAAAATGTACATATAAATTCTAAGCCAAGTTTTGACTAAAGGAGTATCATTCAAAGCAAACAAATAAACATAACAATGATATATTCCTATTGATTTTGTTAGAAAAACCTAGCGTGGGCTAAAAACATTTCTTTTCTTTTTTTTTTTTTTTTTTGTTTCCTGCCAGAGATAATAATGCAAATATGAAACTAATTTTAATGAACCACTGGATTACTCCAAGGCATTCTACCTTTTTTTTTTTTTTTGAGAAGTCAGAGATATGATCCAGACTACAGCAGCAGTGGAGAAATGCACCAAGTATACCTCACAGGAGTACTTTTCAGCTACTCACACCAGTCAAACATGCATGGTATAAATGCATAATATGCTGTGTCTTAGAAGGGGATGGTGACTGCRAGGTGATCAGACTAACAAAGTGAGAAAATCATCCCCTTATAGACTTACTGTTTGAACTTTGTGGAAATCCAGGTAAGGAGGATGGACCATTCATTCCAGGCAGAAGAACAGGAGGAAGGCCAGGGAGTCCTGGATAAGCTGCTGGCAAACTGATACCATGAAGAGAAGTGCTGTCCATCATGCCTGGCTGCTGTACTGTTAATCCTAGCACATCAGTAGCCTTCTTTATGCGATCCAATTCTTGCTGTGCCATCAGCTGTCTAACTGTTGTAGGAGCTAAATAATCTTTCTCCCGGTCCAGCTGACTTCCCACAGTTTCTCTCACTTTTGTAATATGTTGTTTCGAAAAGATATGATCTCTTATGGACAAACGTGCAGAATATTTCACRCCACACAGAGAACATTCTGGCTTTGTCCCATCAGGTCCAGTCTGATTTATCATGAATGGCTTCCCTATGTTAATTTTGAATTTCTTTTCTTTAGCCCGGGCATTCTGAAACCAGACCTGAACCACACGTTTGGGCAGACCAATCTCATTCCCTAGCATTTCACATTCCTGCATTGTTGGAGTCCGGTAGTCACTAAAGCAAGCCTTGAGAACTTTAAGCTGAAGGTTACTCATTTGTGTTCGGAAACGTTTGTGGCCTGGCCGATCGCTGTTTTTGGATTTAAAGGGATTGCTAGCTCCAAACGGGTTAGGTGAACTTGGATCAGCTATGCTAGAAGTTTCACTGCGATCAGCATTATCATCAGGGTCATCAGTAATGTAGTAACTTTGGTCATGRTCGCCATCTTTTTCACTGAAGTGTATTGAAGGGCTTGTTAGGGAAAAGAGAAATTTATCATCAGTATTCTCACTTGTAGGTGTAGTTGCTGCTTTTGGTAGGGTGTCATTAGCAAGYGGTTTTGGTTCTTTGGGGGGTGATGCAGGTTTTGCATCCCCTGAACTGCCAGTTGTGCTTTCCATTTCATTGTTCCCTTCATCCCCTGTCGTGGCATCACTAATTGCCGTATTAATTGACGAAGTCTCATCAAAGTCAGTCTTGTTTTGATCATATCCAGAGTCAGCAGGAGGGGCATTCAAATTTTCTATATCCTCACTGGACTCTGCTTTAAAAGAAGAAGGACTTAAAAGGTTCTTCGGTGACATTTCTGCAGTTTTGCTAACAGGGGTTGATACAGTGGAGGCTAATTCATTTTCACTTGATAGTTCAGTTTTTGCTAATGACAGTGATGGGTAATCAAAAAATATGTACTTTTGTGGGCTTTCTCCTCCATCTTCATTTGATATCAAAGGACTCGGAGGCAAACTATAACCGGCCTGTTTTCCTTCATTCCAATGTCGAGAGCGGATGTGACTTTCTAAAGCTGATTTTGCTTTAAACAGAGCTCGACAAAAAGGACATCTTTTATGGGACTGGGCTGGACCAACTGCACGGAATTGTCCCTTTCTTTCTCGGGCTCTTGTGTTCTGAAACCAGACTTGTACGACTCTCTTTTTCAGTCCCACTTCACGTGCAATATGATCTAGCATCTTTCTCGTGGGATTGGAATCTAACAGGTACTTTTCGTAGAGTATTTCCAGCTGCTCTGGAGTAATTGTAGTTCTTAAACGCTTATCACGATGTTGATCTTCTCCACTGTTTCCTCCTTCCTTCTCACTGCAATTATTGTCTTCTTTTTCATCTAGTTTTCGTTTCAGGGAACCAGAAACYGTAGCAGGGTGTGCTGTATGTGATGAGCCAGTTTGTGGTGGCATCTGAGCAAGAGAACTGTTTAGTAACTGTCCAGTCATCAAAGGATTATTTGGGTCAAATATCATGTAGGGCATATCCATTGGTCTTTCTAAAAACTGTGAGTGAAGAAATTGGTTTTGGGCTGCGAGRAAATGCATGTGCTGGTGCTCTTGCCAAAGTTCTAGAGTTGGAAAGGCAACTGTACACTGATCGCACTGATACTGTAATAACTGAGGAGGTAGACTGTTCTGTAGAGAAGTCATTGAAATTGGCAAAGGACTGGAAGGAACAGGTGTGTTTTGTGATGCAGAAGGAGGTCTCCCTACAATCTGGGATTGCTTTTGTTGTGGAGGTTGAGAAGCTGAGGGCTGAGGGTCAGAAGATGTTACTGGAGTAGACTGCACTGGTTTGCTGCTTTGGGAAGTTGCATCTGTTTGCTTAGAGGTGGTTTCATTTTGTTTTGGTTTTTCTGTGGATTCTGGTTTAGGAGAAGCCTTCTCAGGTTCTGGTTTRGGTGATGGAATCAAAGGAGTACTAGAACCAGAGCCAGAGCTTGCTGCAGTSACTGTCAGGCTTTTCGACGAGTCATTTTGGCCAGAAACCGAACAGTTTTTATACACTGTTTGATCAGAGGCATCCATAGAGTCTTCAGTTTGGCTTTCATCTTGAGCATCATCATCCTCATCTTTATAACACTGCTTTTTTTGGTGTGTAATCAAATCAAARATCCTAGGGAAAACCACACTGCACTTTTTGCACTGATACTGCATGTTACTGGTTCGGATGTAACGCTCATTTGTCAGTTCCCTTTTCTCATTGTCCTTAGTTTCAGCTTGATTCTCATAACTTTTGCGAGCTTTCTGTCGTGCGTTTTGGAACCACACAACAATAACTCGAGTAGGTAGGTTAAGTACAGTTGAAAGCTGTTCAATTTCATCATCCTTTGGATAAGCATTGGTGTCAAAGAAGTCTTGGAGGACACGAAGCTGGTAGTCAGTAAACCGAGTCCTGGATGACCTCTTGCTGAAAGACGCATCAGACTTGTAGGGTTCTACAGCTGAAGGTTGAGAATCTATTCTGATATCTTCCAACACTGTTATAGGAGGGTTGCTGAAGTTATAGGGAGAATCTTTATTTCTCTGTCGTTCTTTAAAGAGCGTATTTCGAAACCAGTGCTTGATAACCTTCTGTGAAAGACCAGATTTCTCAGCCATTTCTTGGATCTGCTCTTCACTTGGAGAATTGTTAATATCAAAATAAGCCCGCAAGATTTTTAACTGGTCGTCTGTGATTCTTGTACGTGGACGCTTGAACTGAGAGTGCCGCAGGAAGTTGGGATCTAATCCCAGCTGCTGCTGACAAAGCTGGGTAAGATCGGCAGATAAAGTATCCATTGGCGGCAGCTGGAGGGTGAGCTGAGGAGGCAGTGCGGGGTGTTGCACTGGCTGCATCATAATTGGAGGGAAAAGTGGGAGATCAAGTGAAACGGGAAGCTGGACTTGAGGAGGCGCTGATGGTGGTGGTGGAGGAGGAGGAGGTGGTGGTGGAGGAGGCGGTGGTGGAGGTGTAGGTGGTGGAGCTTGCAAAGGTGTGGGAGTTGYATTTTGAATTTTTCCAGCTCCAGCTGAAGAAGGCTGAGAAGGAGTTGGAGGAGGAGGAGGAGGAGGTGGTGGAGGAGGTGGTGGCGGAGGCGGTGGTGTTTCTGGAGAAGATGGAGAAATTGGATAAAGTTTGTCATAAGCCTCCCTGTACTGTCGGGCAAATTTTTCTAACGCTCCATATGGAAAAAAATGTCCATGCACATGTTCTTGATGACTCTTCAGAATAAGAATGTTGGAAAAAAGCTTACTGCAGGTTCCACACTCCAGTTTGTCTGTGTTTTCACCATCCCCAGTTTTGCCTTTTTTCTGCACTTTTTGTCTGTTCTCATTGTATTGGATAACTAACTCAAACCCAAAGTTCTCCAACAAAGCCTTGGCTGCATTCCCCCTTGCTCCAGAAGCTATTCTGGGTGGTGGGATGGCTGGTTCTGAGGACTTTGGTTTCTTCATATCTTTGTTTTCTTTTAGTCCTTCAGTCTCAGAAAATTCTTGCTTTGGCTTCTCRTGTTTTTCAGAACCTTCTTCTGACTCCTTATAGGATGGCATATCCTTTATCAGCTGGCAGTCTGTACTTACTAAGGTATTTTGCTCTGCTTTCATCAGCTTACTACTTTGCTGCTGCTGCTTTTGGGACTGAAGCTGGGGTTGGGTGGACTGATACTGCTGTGCCTGTTGCTGCAGTATCTGTAGCTGGGTTTGGCCAACGTGGTGCTGAGTTTGTATCTGCTGCTTCAAATCTTCGAGCAGTGATCCTGTCATACCAGCCATTCCAGGCATACCAAAGGTGGCAGAACCAGGCAAACCCAGATCTGGGCTTAAGCTAAATTCTGTCCCAGGTATATAGAATGGRAAAAGGAACTGAGGCTGTTGAAATTGGAGCAGTGCTTCTGGTGTCATTGGAAAGTGAGGCAAAAAAGCTGGATTTAGAAACTGCGGTTGAAAGAACGCAGCTTGTTGTTGCAGTTCATGCTGTAGTTGCATTTGAAGTTGTGCTGGTGACTGGGGTGGGTGATGTGTAGGCTGAGCAGAAATTAATTCAGAAGCTTGCTTTTTATTTAATTCTTTGGCATCTAAATGTGTTTCTTTGCTGTTAACTGCTGGTAAGCTCATAGATTCTAGCATTCCTTGGCTGGGGCTATTAACATTCCCTGCTACACTATTTCCACTATTTATATTACCACTTGGTTCTAGTTTTGCAGCCCTTGCCTTTGTCTGATGAAGCACAGATCTCATATGGATTTCCAATGTAGAACTTTGGCTATACGCAACATTACAAATGCTGCACTTGTAGGGTTTGTTGTCAGTGCTACTGTTGGTTTCTTGAGGGACAGGACTTGATGCTTCCTGCAAAACCTTTTTGAGTTTATGCAGATGGGACACTGAGTTATAGTGGACCAAGAGAATGTTCTTTTGGGTGAAAGACTCTTTACACACTGTACACTTATACGGGCGAGATGGATCTAGAAATTTTTCCATAGTAAAATTTGGCCCTTTTCTAAAAGGTAAGGTCCGCTTTGGTTCCGAGCCCATATCATCTGGAATAGAGCTACTATCACTTCCTACAGGACTTGCTTTGCCTTCCTGGTCCATCTCATAATCTCTTTCTATTTCCTGTTCTAGTGCATGATCATCTTGTGCCATACTTTCACTTTCCGCCCAGAGTTCACCATTGACCGGTAAAGATGCACACAGCTGCTGAAGTTCAGCTTCATTGAGTTCAGGGTGGCCTGCTTCCAAGTGTTTTTTTAAAGCCTGGAATGTACGGAAGCTACGTTGGCAAAGGCTACACATGGTAGCCGCCCGAATAGCGTGGTACTGGGAATGTATCTGAAGCTTCTGCATAGTCTTAAAAGCCAAGCTACAATGGTTACAGCGGTACTTATAGACATGGCGGTCAGAAACAGACAGCTGCTGCTTCTTCTGCTGTTCATTCAGCTGCTCTGTCACCGAGTCAGTGGTCTTTGTATCTTTACTGCTGCTCTTATTCCAGTCTGGTGTTTCAGTAGGTTCCTTAGGTGGCTTCTGTTCCTCASTCTTAATTTCCATCCCAGGTTTTGATTCATCGACCCCAGGGGTACTCTTCTCCTCCACAGGACTTTCACCTAGTAAAAGAAAGTGAAGTGTCTTTTATACAAGTAGAAGAGAAAGCACATAGTATTCATTTTAATTTATTTTTTCATCAGAAATCAAGAAAAGTACCTGGTATGCCATGTGTCAGCTTAGCAAAATGAAACAACCTGTCCTTGTCCCATAAAATAAAGAAGGCAGGACAAACAGGAGGTTAAAAGAAGGAATAAAACCCATATACAATGATCAGATTGGCAGTGGCATCTGGCTGAGTAGTGGTGTAGGGCTTTTATTTGCCAGAAGGTAGGAATTTATTGGTAAAATGGGAGCACCAAACAAGAAAAGGAAATCAATAGGAAAGAGGGACAGAGTAGAAATTGGGACTGGGTAGCCCGATGATAAGAAAGGAAGAGGACAGTGGTCTGAGAAGAGAGGGATGAGCATGCTRTGATAAACAGCAAAGTTTCCCAGTACATAATACAGTAAATGTCCAGGATCAGAAGCCTACTATTGGAAATGAAGACAAAATCACTTACCTAACATTCCCCATTGATGGTGAAAGTTCTTATTTGCTGGTTAAACAAAGAGGACTGGTTCTTATTTGCTGGTTAAACAAAGAGGATCTTGCCTTCAAAGTGGCTGGGCACTGCTGTTTGTTTTTACCTCCACCAAAAGCAAACAGTCTGGCATACATATGCATTCTAGTAGCTCAACCAAATTCAGAGCCCTTGTTACATTTACCTTTTTATCTCTGTGGCTATAAGCAAGCCAGAAAAAGATCCCCTTTACTAAGAAACAAGTAGTTTRTTTCTAAATAGCCCATTCCTAGATTTTACATGTCTGGGCTTTTTCTTGCATACCTGGATATTTCCCAGATCCCTCAGCTGTAATGGTTGCAGGTGTGTCACGTTCAGATTTCTCTGAAGCAGCTGCTGGCAATAGCATACTATTGGGCATCATGACATCTGGTACAGGAACCTTTGAAAACCAAGAAGATGGTATTATTACAGAAAAAGTCCCACTATTTAATACTATACAACAGTATGAAATTATAATTCAAAAATTCCACCATATCTAGAGGAGTGTCACTATTAAACCATGATCTTGATTCAGTCCTTGACAATGGTTTCTGACAGACCACAATCCAGAGCATCATGTGTCCCTTGGTGGAGAATCAACTCAAAATAATCCACAGTCAGGGGATGCTGTAGAACTGCATGCACTCAATATTTCACTGATCTCAATATCACCACAGAGAAGGTTTTGCTGACTTTCCAAGGTCATTTGATTTATCGGGGGATTTCTTCTAGGATATCCTCCAAAGACAGAAATTATGTAGAGATATGGTCACCAGTCAGTCCTTGACTAAGGGTATTTCTACTCTTCTTCACCTGTATTTTTGTACACAAATGCTGGACATTCCATGATCTCTGAAGGAAAATTATGTCTATTCCAATTCAGAAACAACAACTCATTTTCATTTAAAATTCGGTTTTTCTCCTTCTTGACTTCAATTGSTTATGTATCTTCTTCAGACTGCTTCACCTGTTGTGCTATGCTTTCAAATTATAGASAGAAATCTTTGAAGGATCTCTTAGTTTGGTAGTACATAATTTAGCTAAGTTGACGAGAATATTTGCTAAACATTTCATGTTTTTATTTTGCTTTGATCTTTAAAACAAATTCATATCAGCAAGACTTAGTTCAAGCTCCTGAACAGCCAGATTCTGTCGAAAGGACTTTGGATAAGTGAGTTTAGACTGGGCTGCTCTCCTCGTTTCTTACAGAGGGACAGGACTTCCTTCATAGAGAGGTAAGAGGATTATCCTCAGAAGAGATTTCTCAGTTGAAAATAAATAATGGAAGCTACATTCATTATGAGGAATGGGTAGAAACACCTTTTGTTCCTCTAACATTAGGATACATAAGAATTACATATATGTGTGTATATATATATATATATATATATATATATATATATACACACACACACAAATTGCGTCTTGGAGAAAACATTTTAGACATTTAGAAAAGCACAGGTTTAGTATATTTATGATTTAAACATGGCATTAATAGCATCCTGTCATAGGACTAATGACTTTGAGTTTACTTGGGGGAAAGACTTCTAAAAAAATTATGTAAAGAACTGGAAATATCCCACAAAAGAAAAATTTGGTATAAATAGTATTTATCTTGTTATCAGAGGGTTCAGTTATGGACAGATAATATTAGTGTTAGCAACTACAACAATTTCAATTATGCAGATTAAGTTTTACTTAAACTGGGAAACATTGGGGTTTTTTCCCCTCTCAGAAACATTGTGACACCTCCCCGGTACCTGGTGAGGAAATATTTCAAAGTTGCTTTATTATCAGCATAGAGCAAATCATGAAAATCTTGAGAAGAAAGCTAATACTGCTCAATAGGGAGGGGGAGATTTTCCTTATTTTCCCAGTTTCCTAAAAGGGTCTGTGAAAGTTAAATTTCTGCTGCATTTTCCTTGCAGCGGGCCAAAATCACATGGCCTGTCAGAGCTATAATTAGTAGAACAGGAAGGAAAAGAAGGAAGAAAAAAGAAGATTCCCAAATATGTATTTGCTCATCAACTCTAAGCAC